TGGCTCTGATTGCAGGGGCTCCAGGTACTGCTCCACTAACACGTGTAGCAACTGCAAGAAAATCACTATCAGAGAATTTTGTTCTCACTGTGTTGCCCAACTTTGACAAAAACTCAGAAAGCTCAAACCTACATGTATAAGACTTGATAGACAATATAACCCAGCCTTTGCTGCTCCACTAACTCACCCTGACGTAGTCTCTCTCAGTGTCCAGAAGGTCTTGGGCACTCTTTCTCAGTCTGTCCTCCGTGGTCCAGGTCGTCGCTCTCTCTTCTCTCGCTCTCTGGACGTCCCAACTCTTCAGCAGCTTTGACAGCTCACTGGAGTCCTGGACCATCACAGAGAGGTGGGTTTAACCCATTGCCCACTGAATACTGAGCTTGCCTTGAGAAGGGAGTTGATCTGCTCTCGTGAGACACTTCCGCTGTAGCTTTTATTGGAGTTCTCCGTGTCATCTATAAAATAGTTGGTCAGTGTAGAGGAAAGAGTGTACTTGCAGCAATGCTCCCCAACCCTAGTAATTAATAGAGATGTCTAGAAAGAAGTGAATAGACTTATCATGCAAGGCCTAATAATATCAGATTTAGTGTTCCTTGCAGTAGCGTTCAATAAAGTTGCTAGGAACCTCTATTATTGCCCACCTCTGGCTGGAGTTGGTACAGTGAGCTGTTGAATGGCCTCCTGTGAGAGCTCAGTGTTGGACGAGGGAGGGGCAGGGCATATGAGGCTCTCCACAATCTGATTGGTCAGTTCCGAGACGGGCATCTCGATGTGACAGGTCTTGAGTGATAGGGAAACTGTGGGAGCTGTAGTATACAATAGTAGGAGGAGGAAATGAGGGAGTTCCCTGTCATTATAATTCCATCAAGCTACCAGATGTTATCTTCACAAATAATAATAATCAGTAGCTATAGTTCTGTCGTACCGTCCAGTGAGCTCCGGGTGCCAACCCATCCGGCCTCCCTCACACTCCTCCCGTTCACCCTCGTCACCTCGTCACCCTCCCACACCCCACACCGATCTGCCACACCCCCTTCCTCCACTCGGCTCACCAGTACCGTCTCCAGTCTGTTCCCACCCACGTCCCATACCGGTTCCAGCATCAGACCTGACAACAAAACCAATAAATTGGAGCTTTGTGTGAAACCAGTTATAGTTAAAGAAACAATGGAACCCCAACACCAATGGGACAGAAAGAGGTGTCCTCATTTCATGGGTATATATCTTCAAAGAGGGGCTCTACTGTAAATGTGTTAGTCACTAAAGTGAAGTAATTTTTGCATGAAATTTCCCTTCATGAGAAAGAAGATAAGAGCACTGTGTAAAGGTTTGCAGAGTCAGTGTCCTACCAAAGGCAGTGGTGGTGCAGTTTTGAATGTCAGGCTGAGAGAGAAAGACCGTGTGAGTCCACTTCTGACACATCTCCAGATGAGTGTACTCCTGCTGTAGAATGGGGAACATTGTCATAAGGGGGAGAATGAGGAGGAACCAGTGCTTTACCTGATCTCGTAACAACTCATTTGGTCCAGGAGTTTCACACTCTTTTGATAGGAAGATAAATACCACCGTCAACAGTAGAGCTACCCACAATTAGCTACTCACCAAATCCTCCATCTTCTCTCTCGTTTCTCAGTCGAATGAAGTGGTCCCTAGACTCCAACCGTCTTACCTACAGATACAGACAAATGTACCTTAATGATTGAGCTCTATTTATTGAACACTGTACGCTGTAAAGTCAAATCCAGAAGCCAATGCGATAGGTGAAAATGTGTGTATCAGTGAGGTGTCCTTATTTCTTGCATGCAAGAACTGTTCTTGGGGAAGAGAAGGTGTCCTTAAAGAGGAGTTCAACTATAATAGATGGAGTCAATACTGCTTGCTGCCTATAGTCACACCGATTGAGTAACGTAGCTAAATAGGGGTTTACCCTGCAGCCGGCATGGAGGATGTCAGTGATTGTGGTGTTGTCACGGTGAGGGACCGAGACAACCCTGTTGCCGGGGGTGAAGATCTTTATCACCGGGGACAGTGGGGAGATTGGTTCATGAGAAAAAGAAGGCGGGGCATCTGTATCAGTTGTCTCCTGGGCAGAACAGTCATTGGAAATGTAATACGCGAACAGAATGCAGTGTGAACGTGACACCTAGTAGAGCCTCCAACTTCACGAATCCATCCGTAACTATGCGAAATTTGTACACACTTTACGAGCAAAAATCTCGAAGAATTCGAGAGAAGAGCACTTCAGAAGGCATGGCAAATTATTACAACTAACGGTGTGTATGTAAGTGGGCAATACCGACAAGTTACACAAACTGCATATAAGGTCCCCCTCTCATCAGCTGTGATGCCCATTCATACCTCCCTAGAGTAGAGGCTCACCTCCATTTCAGAGTAGGACTGAGCGAGAGAGTGGAGTGCTGAGGGTGGTAGCATGGGATAAGGTCCTGATATCTCCATACACCTGTTGTAATAGTTGGAGCCAATGTTGATCCAGACATTCTCACTCAGGTATATATATACAGCATACTTACCTCAGTGAAGACCTCTTATCTGTCGCCATCCTCTGGAACATCTGTTGAGAGAGAGAGAGTGTTTGAAAATTCAACATGGGGAACACAGAGACTATTTTTAATTTGGATCAGGTCCCGAAAAGCGATCTCTTGTCTTGATTTACGGGGCACATTAATTACCTTGTTCTTGTGACTTTTCCATTTACCACTCTGTCGAGAAATGTGAGACTATAGGCAATGTGGGGTAGTTTCGTAGGCTTACAGTTGGGGAGAGAGGTGACTTGCCACTTCTACTGAACTTGAAGGAGCCATAGTTTGAGGTGGACGACGGAATACTACGAGCACTGACCTACGTACAAACAGAAGAAAGGAAAATGTTCTTTTTCTTCTATTAGATCTTCAGTGAAACCTCTGACCAAAGGGGACATTCAGAGTGATCAGATGTGTCCCTTATTCGGAGGTATACTGTGGCAGACTCACGATGGCATGGAGTGAGGCCACGGAGAACACGCCCAGTTTCCCGAGAGCCAGTTTGGTTGGTCTGGCAATGGACGCCAGGAGTGTCTGGGGGTTGGGCAGTTCTGAGCCTTGCAGGGAGGCCAGGTAGCATCGCAGTCTACAGCAGAGAGAGAAAGAAAAGAATACAGAAGATTGAGAATATCTGCTCTCTTTGCCTTTAAACTCAGACACTGTGGTTGTGCTAAATAAAGAGAGTAAAGAGAGAGACCTAGTTTTTGACTGGATAACTATATATTCTAGAAGTGAGAGAAATGGAGTTTTCTGTGCCATACCTGTATATGTCCACGTTGTATTTCTCAATGTTCTCTAGACAAGTCACCAACTGAAAGAGAAAGTGGGAGAGTGTGTGCGTCAGCTAATACCTCTTCACACCATACTGTATCGCTAAATAGCTACACACAGAATGTTTATCTTGAGCAGTGAAAGGAAAGAAAAGAAAAAGTGGCTGACTTGTTTTGATGCCATTGATCTTGCATTGTAGTCAGTGACAGATGCCACATTTAGTTCTGTCAGGTTCTTTAGCTGAGTCTCCTGCCAGTTACAGTATTACATATTATAGTGTGTGTAGCTGTATATGCACACTCACCTTCTCAATGGCTTTAGTGTGCTCTTCCATTTCTCTCTGCGTGTAGAATGACAGAGATCGTGAGTATAAGATATCTATTTCACACCAACTTTAATTATCTGCATTGCTTCATCCTTGCTGGAGTGGTTTGTCATAGCCAAGGCAGCAGCTGAAATAAGGAGATGGGAGAGAAAAAGGGAGCAGAGAGGAAAATAAGCAACTCTTAAGCAACTCTTATGTAGAACTGCATTGCAACTGGTTCCTACACTTACCACAGTGAATGTTGGCAATCCAGTCATCCATCTCTGAGACACTTGTTGTCTAGTTTGAAAAGCATCACATGATAATCACATGAGAGGTGACATGATTCTAAGGTACAGTCACATGATTCTAGGGTCTAACTCTAGATCGAGTCTAATCACATGACTGTCACATGATCTGTGAGTTGTTTACCTGGAGGTAGTAGGTGTTGCCATTGGCAGTACTGAGACAGAAGATGTAGTCTCTCTTGACGTGATCGTGGACTGCATGGGCCAGACTCAGACTGAGGTCTAGAGAGATGGAGAGAGGGGGGAGGGAAATTTGTGACCACAGTAATGACGCTCTCCAATTTGTATAGCAACATGCTCTGGCAGCAAATTTTGTGTTGCATCACTATGCTGGCTCAGCTTCATGCCGTGCTTGCTTGCCTGGTTGTTTAACCACATTACTAATTATTCATGCACTAATCGTAAACAATTTTGTGAATAGATAACTTGCCGAAACACGTGTGTTGCATTCGTTCCAGTCAACAAAATAGCTACTACACCTGAAGACACAATGTGGCATGCTTCAGTTGCAGTAGCTATTTTTGTTGACTGTAGTGTTAGTGATGACACATCCTAAACAACAGTCTGCAGCTGCAGAGCTACACTGACACTACTGGTATCTGTTTTGAAAGTTGACAAAGTTTGTTTGTGGCGAAAAACTATGAGACAATGAGGCTGGCTATAATACACCTTGTGAAAGCTATTTATACTCATTTGGTAGAGTATGATCAACCATTACTACTGCTGCACACCAACTAGAGAATGGGGTACTTCCACTTTGTTTTGGTGTCTGTATTGTCCTTCTATTCGGTGCAGAATGAAGCCTTTGAATGTGATGGTAAGACAATTCGCATGCTAGCATTGAATAAGTCTGTGATTGGTGATTGCTGTACATTTCTCTCAGTTGTGAGGCTAGCTGCAGCAGTTCATGAGACACTGAGTCCATTCATGACAGAAATAAGGGAAGGCCTGGCTACTGTTAAAGAAAACCTAACCAACATCCAGCAACAAGTCAATGCCCTTACTGAGACTGTGAGCAACATGGAACAAAACAGCAATGATGAGCAGACGACAGGACTACATACCAAACTGGATATGGTTAAGTCTCTACTGATCTCAGTCAATACTAGTATGAGTGAAGGACTCTCGGCAGTCAATACTAGTATGAGTGAAGGACTCTCGGCAGTCAATACTAGTATGAGTGAAGGACTCTCGGCAGTCAATACTAGTATGAGTGAAGGACTCTCGGCAGTTAAGACTGAACTTCAAGAACACAGCAGCCAGACAACCTCAGAGCTAGCAGGACTGGAGACCAACCAGGAGACCATTGACTCCAAGTTAGACTCTCTGGACTCCAAACAAGATGGTCTCAGTATGACAGTGATGACTGCACACTCTGAACTGGAGCAAAATGTACTGACCAATGTTACAAAGGAACTGAAGAAGACTGCTGACTATATACTTGAAGAAGTACCTACTTCATTTGTATGTGGAGGTACAAAAGCCTGGAGACGTGTTGTCTACCTCGATATGAGAGACCCCAACACCAACTGTCCCTCTGGCTGGCAGCTCACTAGTTACTCCAAGAGGACCTGTGGTAAAGTAAACACCAGCAGTCTCTCCTGTGACTCAGTCTTGTTCCCTGTCAGTGGAGGAGACTACACTAGTGTGTGTGGCTCTATCAGAGCCTACCAGGTTGCTCAAATTGATGCATTTGAGACCTATCATGATGGACAAGTGACAACAATAGAAGGAGCCTATGTTTCTGGTGTTAGTCTCACACATGGCAGTCCACGACAACACATCTGGTCATTTGCTGCTGGTGCTTCTGAAGCCCAACCCACTTGGGAAGATGCTTGTCCTTGTGATGCTAGCATCAATATTGCCATCCCACCATTTGTGGGTGGAGACTATTTCTGTGAATCAGGAGTCAACTCAGGGTCACCAATTACAGTCTTCTATCCAGATGATCCTCTGTGGGATGGTGATGGCTGTGGTAGCAGCAGTAGCTGTTGCTCATTCAACAATCCCCCATACTTCACTAAGACACTCCCCAGCCCCACCTCTGACCCTATAGAGGCCAGACTGTGTCGATTGGACACTGCTGATGATTCTCCAGTTGAGTTCATGGAACTCTATGTGAAGTAGTCGGTTACTCTGTTGCATAACTATACCTAAGAGTGGCCTCGGACAAATTATCTACTGTACACAGACCTGGACACATTATTATGACAGTGTAGTTGTGCTATAGATTGTGGATTTGTTGTCACAGCTGTGCTTTAACAATGCAGCAATACTAATTAGCTTATGATTGTGAAAGATCGTGAAAGGGGAAATGGGAGATACAGGCAGAAGTAATGGCATTTATGAAAAGAGGGGAAAACTAAGATTAAACCCAGGCCTGATGAGAAGAATGGTAAAGATGAGAGAAGAAAGAGAGAAAGGGGGAGGGAAGAGTAGACTTACTGGCTCAGTAAGAGGTAGGAGAGGTAGTGGTGAGAGGGTGTGTGAAGGGGAGATGTGAGGGAGGGAGAAGAGCTGGACAGAGGAGACAGTCTGTACTTCAACTGCCACATGTCAGTCACTCCTGTAGAGGAAATTGGCTACTGATGCTACTAGCAAATTTGAAGAACTGCCTAAGTCCACTCAACAGATTTTTGCCCCCTCTGACTCCTCCCCCTGGCCACACCCACTGACCAATATCTCTAATGTAATCGATAACGACAGGGTTACCCTCATGTATGAAAATCGATGTCTACTAGTTTTCCAGTACAGCAACACAGCACAAGATAGTGTATAACTTTGTTCATCTCAATACAAGTGAAGACGGTACTAAAGCAAAGGGAAGCAGTGGTAAAGTAGAAGAAAGTATGGATTATGGTAGAGCGTGGTGTGAAGAAAGACTGTCAGATTTGTTCTATGGCTCCTACAGAGATGGACAGAGTGGTGTTGAGGTGTTTCATAAACTGTGTATTGCTGTGCATGTGGTCCTGCCACGAGTGACAGCAAAATCTGTCAGAGACCCTGGACTGGAGATAGTGGTCAACTAACAATGTATACACGCATTGGCTGGCGAACATTTTGTGTTTATCACATGATGTTGTTGGTAGTCTCACACTCAATTGTGTGGAAAACAAAAGCTGTTTCAGTGAATACATAACCTTGAAAATCTTTCACTATTCAACAAAAGTGGATGGAACGAAAAGTATACAGTAATTGTTGCCGACCTGTTTGAATCTTGGACTGTATCATGAGAGACAGAGGCCGTGTTGAGTTCTGTCAGGTTCTCTAGCAGAGTTTTTTGTCTGTGTTAAAACTGTGTGTAGCTTTATTATTACACAGAACTCATGCAAACAACTGTCATACAGTAAAAGCATATACTATCCAGCATTGTAGTATCAAAGAAGGGAACCTGTGGTAATTTAAAGAGGTATGTAGAAACATAGTTCTGTAGGTCGGTATCACTACATCAGACATATGGCATGCTATCAAAATAGAGCAGCTATATAGCTAACTAGTACACTGTTTGTATAGGTCATTTCTATGTATAGAAGATCAGACCACCTTTTAGTTGACGTTGGTTTGGTACGTGCGGCAATTGTAGGAGAAATGAAGAGTCTCCAGTTGGTTGTGGTGGCAGCATTTGCATTCTCTCTCCTGCAGACTGGTGTTTCCCAATATGATGGTGAGAAGTTTGATTAAAGTAAAATGCAGGGGTTGACCTGTACATCACACAGTTTTGAGGGTAGTTGCTGCAATGTATGAGACACTGAGTCCTCTCCTGACTGAAATGAAACAAGATTTGGCTACTGAAATGAGAGAAGGCCTGGCTGCTCTCAGAGAAAACCTAACCAACATCCAGCAACAAGTCAATGCCCTTACTGAGACTGTGAGCAACCTAGAGCAAAACCTTGAACGGAACAATGATGAGCAGACGACAGGACTACGTACTCAGCTGGATATGGTTAAGTATCTACTGATCTCAGTCAATACTAGTATGAGTGAAGAAATGTCAGCAGTTAAGACTGAACTTCAAGAACACAGCAGCCAGACAGCCTCAGAGCTAGCAGGACTGGAGACCAACCAGGAGACCATTGACTCCAAGTTAGACTCTCTGGACTCCAAACAAGATGGTCTCAGTATGACAGTGACGACTGCGCACTCTGAACTGGAGCGAAATGTACTGACCAATGTTACAAAGGAACTGAAGAAGACTGCTGACTATATACTTGGACCCATACCCCTATATGAATGTGGAGGTACAGGAGGTTGGAGACGTGTGGTCTACCTGAACATGACAGACCCCAACACCAACTGTCCCTCTGGCTGGCAGCTCACTAGTTACTCCAAGAGAACATGTGGTAAAGTTAACACCAGCAGTCTCTCCTGTGACTCAGTCTTCTTCCCTGTCAGTGGAGGAGACTACACTAGTGTGTGTGGCTCTATCAGAGCCTACCAGTATGGTGACCAGATGCATTTGAGGCCTATACGATGACGTGGACAGAGTGACCACAATAGAAGGAGCCTATGTTTCTGGTGTCAGTCTCACACATGGCAGTCCACAACAACACATCTGGACATTTGCTGCAGCCCGTACCTGAGACCTCACTAATGTGAAGGATGTCCTTGCAATGGTGCTAATGTCACCATTCCCCACCATTTGTGGGTGGAGACTATTTCTGTGAATCAGGAGTCAACTCAGGAGCAGCTCACTGAAGATTCTATCAGATGATCCTCTCTGGGATGGTGAAGGTTGCATTAGCAGCAGTAGCTGTTGCTCATTCAACAATCCTCCATACTTCACTAAGACACTCCCCAGCCCCACCGCTGACCCTATAGAGGCCAGACTGTGTCGATGGATACTGCTGATGATTCTCCAGTTGAGTTCATGGAACTCTATGTCAAATAGGTGACACTAGGACTATGAAGTGAACGACTCTGTGTAGTTATGTTACTGTAGCACTCAACTGCTCAACTGGTTTATACATAAGACTGAGTTTAGAGGTACGTAACTGTCCTATCCTCAGTGGCGGTAACTATTATTGCCACTGGAACAGGATTGCGAGCTTGCTGCACTGTAGATGAAGCTGGTAAGACATGTTGCCTTGGTTAGGCAATCAGAGCCCTAAGTAGTGCCCTGGATGCAGACAACTCAGGGCACTCTGAATACTAAGATGTGCAATTAAGGCAGCTCCACTTCTAGCCCATGCTTGCTTGGCAAGTGGATTATCGATTTGAGTCACAGTTCAGGGGGACGATCCATTTTAAGAGGGGCAAACCTCCCCCTCCCCCTGAAAATGCATCCCAAGGACCGGAAAGACATTGTACTGTAATGTTTTATGTAACTGAAGTACAGCCAGTGATAAAAATATGCACTGTGATAGATTAAAGCACTAAGCAAAACTTTGGTGACATGTTAAATGTAGTGGCAGAATAGTGTGCAGATGCATATAAACGCCACTGAATGAAGAGTGAGAGAATATCCAGCAACTAAAAGACCACAGCAGTGGAGTACAAACAGTAGCGAGCTTTCATCGACTTCACATTACAGTCAAGAAATCTCCACAACTCCAGCCATAGGCCACTGAATTCAGAAATCCTTGAAGTGGGACAAACAATACATAAACATGGTCTCTGTTGATATTAGAGAGACTGAAGTACAAGCAATGGGGAAATTGGAGCAGGCCAATATGCAGTTTGTTAGAGGGAGAAGAGGGAGGGAAGAGGTGAAGTCTTTAATCCAAGTGCAAAGCTACACCACATGCTAGGTTTATCAGTAAGTACACATTTGGAGTAGACTTGATGTCTAGTTGCACCTCCACAGTGTGCCCAACAAGAAAACTGGACACACCTTTACCACTGAAGTACTAAAGCGGTAAGTATTGTAATATTTGAGCTGCAATGTGCAGACAGACACACAAACCAAGTATACACCGTAGAGCCTAGTGACAAACAATGCCAACTACAGATAGACAAGGGCCGGGGATGTTGTCTTTAGTAACAAAAAAGGCTGTTATAGTTTAGGTAGGCTGAAGTGTAACCATGCAGACATTGCTTCCAGAGTATGTTTGTGGCAGTATAACCAAGGAAAGAGGTGCAGCCTTTATTTCAGTTGTAAAGACGATAGCTAAAGAATACCGCTAAAGTGGAAGGATGAAGAGTCTCCAGTTGGTTGTGGTGGCAGCATTTACATTCTCTCTCGTGCAGACTGGAGCTTCCCAATGTGATGAAGTACTACAATTTTTGAGCTGCACTATTGCTGTATGTTGCAGACAGACACACAAACCAAGTATACACTGTAGAGCCTGGTGACAAACAATGCCAACTACAGATAGACAAGGGCAGGGGATGTTGTCTTTAGTAACAAAAAAGGCTGTTATAGTTTAGGTAGGCTGAAGTGTAACCATGCTGACATTGCTTCCAGAGTTTGTTTGTGGCAGTATAACCAGAGAAAGAGGTGCAGCCTTTATTTCAGTTGTAAAGACAAGCTAAAGAACACCGCTAAAGTGGAAGGATGAAGAGTCTCCAGTTGGTTGTGGTGGCAGCATTTACATTCTCTCTCATGCAGACTGGAGCTTCCCAATGTGATGAAGTACTACAATTTTTGAGCTGCACTATTGCTGTATGTGCAGACAGACACACAAACCAAGTATACACTGTAGAGCCTGGTGACAAACAATGCCAACTACAGATAGACAAGGGCAGGGGATGTTGTCTTTAGTAACAAAAAAGGCTGTTATAGTTTAGGTAGGCTGAAGTGTAACCATGCTGACATTGCTTCCAGAGTTTGTTTGTGGCAGTATAACCAGAGAAAGAGGTGCAGCCTTTATTTCAGTTGTAAAGACAAGCTAAAGAACACCGCTAAAGTGGAAGGATGAAGAGTCTCCAGTTGGTTGTGGTGGCAACATTTACATTCTCTCTGTTGGAGACTGGAGCTTCCCAATGCGATGGTGAGAAATTCGTAAGTAACATAGCTTGATTACCGAGGTTCCATGTACATCACTAGTTGTGAGGCTAGCTGCAGCAGTACATGAGACTCTGAGTCCATTCATGACTGAAATGAAACAAGAATTGGCTTTTGTTAAGACTGAACTAAGAGCAGGTCTAGCTCAGGTTAAAGAAAATCTAACCAACCTGAATATGGTTAAGTCTCTACTGATCTCAGTCAATACTAGTATGAGTGAAGGACTGTCAGCAGTGAAGAACACTCTTAAAGAACACAGCAGCCAGACAGCCTCAGAGCTACAGACTGGATACCAACCAGGAGACCATTGACTCCAGTTGGACTTCTCTGTACTCCAAACAAGATGGTCCATTATGACAGTGACGACTGTGCACTCTGAACTGGAAGCGAAATTCATGACCAATGTTACAAAGGAACTGAAGAAGACTGCTGACTATATACTTGGACAGGTGTATGAATGTGGAGGTATAGGTTGGAGACGTGTGGTCTACCTGAATATGACAGACCCCAACACCAACTGTCCCTCTGGCTGGAATCTCACTAGTTACTCGAAGAGAACATGTGGTAAAGTTAGTACTAGTGATTTCTCATGTGACACAGTCTTGTTCCCTGTCAGTGGAGGAGACTACACCAGTGTGTGTGGCTCTATCAGAGCCTACCAGTATGGTATAATAGATGCATTTGAGGCCTATGACGATGGAGCAGTGACCACAATCAATGGAGCCTATGTTGCTGGTGTCAGTCTCACACACGGCAGTCCACGACAACACATCTGGACATTTGCTGCTGGTTTGTCTGAGGACAGACCCTCTCGGAATGATGCCTGTCCTTGTGATGCTAGCATCAACATTACCGTCCCACCATTTGTGGGTGGAGACTATTTCTGTGAATCAGGAGTCAACTCAGGATCAGCTAGTGGATTTCATCCAGATGATCCTCTCTGGGATGGTGAAGGCTGTGGTAGCAGCAGTAGCTGTTGCTCATTCAACAATCCTCCATACTTCACTAAAACACTCCCCAGCCCCACATCTGACCCTATAGAGGCCAGACTGTGTCGATTGAATACTGTTGATGATTCTCCAGTTGAGTTCATGGAACTCTATGTGAAGTAGTCAGTTACTCTGTTGCATAACTATACCTAAAGTGGCCTCGGACAAATTATCTACTGGAAACAGACCTGGACACATTATTATGACAGTGTAGTTGTAGTTGCTTATATATTCATTACACTGTGTGCTATAGATTGTGGATTTATTGTTACAGCTGTGCTTTAACAATGCAGCGATACTAATTAGTTTTTAGTGTTTGCTGAGATCAGTGAGGGAGGGGAGATGGTGAGAGTGTGCCAATGGTGAGGGGTGTGGAGAGGGGGTGAGGTTTTGGAGGTGTGGCTGGGAGTTAGACCTGGGACGAGTGTGACGTGGTGAAGAGTGTGAGGGAGGGAGGAGAGGGTGTCTGAGAGAGGGAGAGTAGGAACTGAGGTGTAAGTTGTGAGGGTGTGCCAGTGGAGAGGGGTTGTGGAGAGGAGAGGGGAGGGGGAGTGGGGAGTTGCTGCCGCTTGTTGTCGCTGTGTCTCGAAGTTCTCCAATTGACTGACGTATGAGATGAATCATTGCTGCCTTCTGCTCCATAGACCTGCACAGAGAGTTACATAATAGAAGAGAGATATAGAGAACTGAGGGATAGTTATGTGAGAGATCGTGAATGGGGAAATGGGAGATACGAAAGCAGTTCATTATGTAGTCTGTTACATTGTGATCGCGCATTTGTATCCAGCAAAATGTGTAGCTCCATGAGACCAAAAGAGCATACAAACATCAGCATGTGCTACCCTCACCGCCACATCTATAACAGTATTGCAGAAGTAATGGCATTTCTGGTAAGGGAACCAAAGGGGGGATTAACCCCAGGCCTGATGAGAAGAATGGTAAAGATGAGAGAAGAAGAAAGAAAGAAAGAAAGAAAGGGGGGACAGTAGTTGCACTCACTGGCTCCGTAAGAGGTAGGAGAGGTAGTGGTGAGAGGGTGTGTGAAGGGGAGATGTGAGTGAGTTATGTAGTCTGTTACATTGTGAGTCTACTCTTCCCTCCCCCTTTCTTCTCATCAGGCCTGGGTTTATTTTGTTAGTTTTTCCTTTGGTTTCACTTGTGTTCACTAACCAAAATTAATTCATTGCAAAACCAGAAAAAGAAGGCGGAGTCGCTACCGCGGCCACTTCGCTACCTCTTCTTGCACTGCATTTTCTGGCGCTCTCAGCCTGTCTTCATCGAGTTATCGTTAGAAGCGCTCCACCATACGAAACGAACAGAAAGCCAGAGCGCTCAACGTGTAAGCGCTCACTCTAAAATAGTTCGACGCTGATTCCTCGGTAACCACGCGCCGGTAGAAAGCCTCGTGCCCCGGGGGCCGGTTAGCGCCCTCGCTGCGCTCGGGGCGCCACACATGCCGGGGGGGTCATCTCGGCTTTCTACTGCGCGCTAGTTACCTCGAATCAGCGTCTAACTATTATGTATGCTCTTTTAGTCTCATGGAGCTACATTTTTGCTGGATACTAATGTGCGAGAGTAGACTCAACTGGCCTCCGTAAGAGGTAGGAGAGGTAGTGGTGAGAAGGTGTGTGAAGGGGAGATATGAGGGAGGGAGATGAGCTGGACAGAGGAGACAGTCTGTACGTCAACTGCACATGTCAGTCACTCCTGTAGACAGACACACCAAACCTGGGCACTGATGCTACTAGCAAATTGAACCAACTAGCTACCTACATGAAGTGCCTATAAGTCCACTGGCACTTTCTAATGATGTATGGCAGCTAAATTTCCCAGTTCTTGCAGTGGGTAAGATCGTGTTAATGGGAGAATTTACCATCAGAGTCTGGTAGGTCATGGACAGAGCAGTTGACAGAAGGTAAGAGAATCTTGAACTTTGTGTCCTCAACTCCAACCTCCACCTCAAAACTCTAGACAGAGGTAGAGAGCTCAATAATACCTTTAAAATTGAGCATAAACATGAAGGACAGTGAGAACCATTTTGGCCTCATCCTAAGGCCTTCTTTGGCTAAAAGAGTGTTTGTGGAGACAGTAACTGACCTTGCTGCTGCTCTTTCTCTTTGGTTTCTTCTCCACACACACCAGGACAACGGCAGAGGCAAACACTACAATATGAAGACAATACACCACAATATCCCCTCTCTCCCTCTCCTTCTACTGATTTACTAACATTGTCGTGAGCCTACTCACTACTCACTCACTCTATGCATCAATTCACCTGGTATTACACTATGGATCAGTGGCGGTAGAACCAAGTGTCATTTCAAAGGGCCCTATATTCATAGGTTCCACTGTAGCTATCCTCTCCTCAGTGCTAACCAAAGCAGGTTGCAAGAGGTCCATGTCCTTCTCTTCAGCTGGTTCTCTAGCAGCCCTCAGGTCTTCGTTTGGGTTCAGCCACATCACGCTCCATGGTAGCAAGCAAACTGGGCCAACCGACAGACTCAGTCCC